CATATCAAAAAAGATGTATGTCTCAAAATTGCAATGGAAACGTTGCCTCCGCACATGATCAACAGCTGATGCTAGTACTGGTGGAAATAATGAACGAGACAATAGGAAGTAGTAGGAGGCTGTTTTTTTTTTTTTTTTTTTCAGACAATGTGCAGCTGGCTCCAGCAGAGCTCTCACAGCATCACAGCTCATAAAAAGTCGTGTCATTCCAATGTGTTAAATCCATAACTTCTCTAAAATCATCAACTATATTTTCCCCAAAATGCCGGATACTTGGCTGCTCCCAAGTAGGTGGGGCTTATCGCTTCAATGCCTGAATTAGACCCAGAGATATCCACTGATTGGTTAATAAATGATGAGCGCTTGCATAAATCCCATCTCATTATTGGGGGGGGACCATAAACAGAAACATTTCTTAAGAGCAAATTTGGTCAGTGAAGTTGCAGTGAAACGTAACGTAAGATATGGTTTAAAAAGTTTGTAAACCACATTCAAGCTGCAGGAACAAAAATGACTGGTAATGGATATGAACAAAATATTGAGAAATAAAACTAAAATTCAATTGTTGCTTCTATGCAAGTTTTGTTGAGTCTGACTTATCTAATCTCTGCTCCACCTTCACAAAAATTTAAGGTTCTAACTAAAGAAAGCTTTAATGAATAACTGCTCTTAGTAAAAATTTTCATTAACATTGATTTATTGAAATGACTCCCAATACAAGTTATGGGCTATTTAAATGAACTTCAGTCATAAATTATGACTGAAGTTGCTTTATTTTTAAGCCTATTTTAGTTTTGCCATACCTGGATGACTGAGAACCAACAGGTGGATAGAAATTAATATCTAGGAGGAATTATAGCTTAAATATAACACTTAAAGCTCCAGGGTTGATATAGAAAAATATTCAGATTTTATTTTGTGATTTTAAAGGCTCTGTGTTGAAGACAGTGAGAAATAAATTCAAAACTTTCTGTTTTTTCTATGTGTTCTCTCTTTTGTTCTCGGCTCCCAAACACAGATCTGTCGACCACTTGCTCAGCCCTTCCCTCCAGTTTCAAACTGCTAATTAACTAAAAGTTTAAGAGCTAAATATGAATGAGATGTTTGCTACCTTTGACGAAAATGCTTAGGTCTATGAAAGCAGTGTAGCAGTTTTGTCAATGAGGCAGTTTATCATGATTCAGTCAAAGTAATGAAATAACAAACTGCAGTTGATCTTCATTGCACCCCCCCCTGGGATTTATGCCTATGATCGCTGCCATAATTTTTGAAAACATATTTACTCCTCGTTTTCAAAGCAGCTGGTTTACTCATATAATTTTAATTTCATTTATTATTTAATGGAAACACCACAATTGCGAAATTGTATTTTTTTCGACACCAGCGGAATATAGACAAAAACTTGTGCACATTTGTACAAGAAACACAGCTACTGATGGGCTGGGAATACATTGTCCTCATGTTTCCCTGTGAGGAATTCATAAAATTAAAAAAAACCTTTATCAAATATGTGATGATGGCTCATTACCAAAAAATCAAAGTAGCTTTAAGTTAAAACACTGGTGAAATGTCACTGATTACTTTTCTACTTTCAGCTAGAAGTACAAAACATTGCTGTACTGAAAAGCGAATGTAGGAAACCATTTCATTCAGCTTTCCTTAAGACAGCAGCTAGTGTGCATAGATCAAATTAGAGCATGTGTCCTCCAGTGGAAGTCTATTTCTATCCCCCTCTAGTGACAGATATAGACCACACCAGGCCTGCGTAACCGCTCCTGGAGCGCTTCGCAAAGGAGGAGGTCTGAAATTGATGACCTAATACAGTCTTACCCCAAGACAGCGGACGATTAATCGTGGCTCGCCTAAAGACGTCTCTGTAAAAATCTCCATCTCGTCTAACAGAGGATGCCAGCTCTGTCCGTTGAAGTCACATTGTGAGTCCTGCGCGCTCGATGGGAGAAGATCTTCGGCTCCTAATTTTCCTCATTAATCACCTGCCTGCCTAACATCCTCCGGAGAAAAGCGGTGCAGTTCTTTCAAAGTAATTACAGCTCTTGAAAGAGCACCGGGTGCAACAATTGCTCATAGGTAGCCATCTTCTTCCTCCTGTGCCTGTACCTTTTCAGTCTCACTCATGGAGTCAGCGGTTCCTGTGTTCTGTGAAGGAATCGTCTTTAGCTATAACTGCTGAGCAGCTTCTGCTTCGCTCTGTTTTTAAGAGGTTTGCTAGCCTCACATCCATTTTCATCTGCTGTGGGATAAATAAATTATGGCCTCTAAAATCAATGCTCAGGCTGTGATGTTGGCTAACATGGTTAGCGCTTGCCACCATGTTACATTTTTGCCAGTGGGGCTCAAACTGAGATGGTCCTGATGTTGAGTTGTTTTGTTCTTATGTAGAACAGTTCTCCAGACAACATAGAGGCCGTACCAGTCCAAAGGTACACAGGTTTAGATTTCAAAATGTTCTGTTGTGTTTTCTATGATTTACTGTCCTTTTATGCAAAGAGAATTTGCCACACTGAGACATGTTGCTTCTGACTGATATAAGGGCCAGCTTTCTTTCCGTAGTATAAATTATATTCCATATATAGAGTCATACCTCCTATTTCTTCAAGACAAAAATTTAATTTTTGCTTCCACTTAAAAAGAAGCACCGGTGTTCGATTATATGGGCTATCCATGACTCTCTGTATGTCTTCTCAGTGTCTCTGATTGGTTTGGAGCAATCAGCAGCCTTTCTGCCATGTTTTTCACATCAACTCCCAGTCAGATGAAGGTGGCTTCTAATAATGTGCCTTATGACAGTAACACAGTAACACAGTAACACATCCACGTTATTGTCAGTAACTGTATTGACATTGTCACGACAGAAAAAGTAATTACCCTCTACTTAAGCGGCTTTAATATGGACCACATATTAACGTTGTTTTTTTTCCCATCACTGCTCATTAGCAGTTTTAACAGTTTTTTTTACAACTTATGAGCCTCATACTTCAAGTTCAATTATCAAAACTGAACAAGCCTCCTGGGTGAGAGGTGAAGTGTCTTTAAGATAACAGCAGAAGTCCAGCTGTCTTCAATTAAAACCCAAGACAACCTGGATACCTGAGAATCTGCATTGTCTTTTTGGCAAATATTTCTGATCATATCCATTGTAGGGTGTCTGACCACCACCAGCAGGCAACATGGGGAAGTGTATTGTCCAAGGACACAGTGGTAGAGGCAACAAAAGAGGCGGATTCAAATTTATTCCTTGTAGAGCAATGACTATTTCCAAATGGCCACAAAGGCAGCTGTGACTATTGTTGAGCAGCCCCATGTGTTTGTAGGTAGTGATGGGTCATCCTGGTCCTGGTTCTGCTGGATGTTTGATTCTGGTAAAACAGAGTCATTTATGCCTACTGTGACCAGGTGCACGTCGAAGGAGGAGGGACAAAACTCATTACTTCATTCTATCAGCAAGGCTTCCTCATATCAATAACTGATTAGCAATATGGCGATTAAACTAGGAAGATCTGATTATATAACTTTGTATAAAAAAAGTGAATCTTTCTGTTTTAAAGAAAAATATAAATTGAGCCTTTTTTAGAATATATTTGATAAAGAGCTATAAATCAGATTTTTATTTTTCTTCTAGCAAACGAACAATAAAATGTTACTGCCACACTACAAATTTTACAGTTATTTAGTACACTGTAAATATTTTTCTCATAATACATGTCAGTGACCAAGCTCTCATACTTTACTGGCCAGTTGTAACTTTCTAAGATCAGGCTGATTGTTTCTACAACCTAAGCAGAAACCTTGTAAATAAATACTGAGTCTAAGCCTTGTTATTTATTCCACATTCTGTATCCGTCTCTGTCTCCCTCCCTGTGTTTACTGATGCACAGCCTGCTAACAATGACACTCTATTGGAGAACTGCATGAGACAGCGAGTAGCTCCTGAAATCCATAATGTTAACGTCAAAATAAAAGTAGTATTTTTTCTTTTTTTCAAAAATTAATGACATCTAGTTGGACTTTCATGCAGAGTTCACACTTAAGGCGTGTTTGATTGTCAAGGTCATCTAAAGAGCCAAATGTCGCATACAGGTTGTAAATTATGCATGAATGAAATAAAATAAAAACGCCTGAAAACATATAAGTTCAGAGAGTGGTTTATATATTTTTGCTTAAGTATTTTTGCCATATATGTGGTGTGTATATGTATATGTTGTTCAGTCTGTGGGGATTAGCTATTTGGGGATTAGCAATCTGATTTTGGGTAATTAGCTGGGTGCCGACACTGTCTGGTCCAGCAGAGGCTTCTTCTTTATCTTAAATATTTCACATTAAAAATACTATATTAAGTATTCTTAATGTATTAAGAATACATTTGCACTATTATGTTGTAATAGTGCAATTCATTGTACTATTACAACATAGTGCAAGGAAAAATAAAACCAATATTTTTGATTTAGAGTTTTTTTTGCTCATATTGTTAAACTGTGGTATCTTTTACTCAATCTCTGCACACCATAAACATCTCCTTCCTTTTTCAGACATTTTGTCACATGCCTCCATAGATGATGTCACTGTTCCAGAAGATGCTGCCAGCAGCATAAACATAATTTAGTCTTCACACAAAGCAGTCTGTTTTACCACTTTATCCTAGTTTAAACTATTCCCTTTTTTATTTTCAATTTGCAAAAACATTTGGGAGCTGGCTTTTAATTTCCCCACAGAAGCACTCAAAGACTAAAAATAAAGCTGAAACAGTGAGAAGAGTAGCATTTACTTCTAAAAGGCAGGGCAGCGGCAATGTAGTCACTCTGTGTGAACTGTGTGCTGATGTTGCTTTGCAACATTTATAAGTCTCGGCAGATAGATGATGTCTTTTCAGAAAGCTGTTGTAGGAATCCCTTCAGTGGTTTTAGGCATGCATAAAACCCATCCTCAGCCTTTACTCAACCACTGTCGCTTCGCTAATGCTCTCTCCCTCTTTGTGTTTGCAGATGGAGATGATACCAGAGCCCGATCCTGATGACGAAGGGACAAAAATAAGTGTGAGTTGAAGAACACGTCATTCACACCATGCTGCAAACCCCCCACTTTCCCAACACGTCGCCATTGTAAGCCGAGTTGGCAGAGATCCACTCTGAGCCAACACAACAGCAGCTGATTTCCTTGAATAATACACCTTCCACCAGAGAATGGAGCTAATCAACAAAATCAGTGGCAGCGTGTTATTACTGTCAGTGGTTCCCTTCCTGCGCTCACACACACCAGCAACAGTTCCGCCTCTTTCCTCTGCCACGCTGCATGGGCCTTCTGTGCCTAGAGCAGCACACAGCCAACCGGTACAAGATCGTCACAGATGTGTGTGTTACGGCGTGACAGTTTACAGATGCTGCTAATATGGAAACGTCATCATCTCCTTGTGTTTTGGAGGTCTTATTCCTTCCAATTCGATTGTTTCAGCAGCAAACTTTTGTTCTTCTTTGGTGATTACAACCAGGACATAGTCATTGTCCAAGGTCATTCATAAATATGTTATTCAGCAGCTGAATTTGGCAGCTTTGGAAAATAATGCCTTGCAAAAATTCTCCCATCACCTAAACGTGACCACTTTTTGTCATGTTTACAATCTGAAACCACAGTGTATTAGTGAAACAGAGCACCAGAAGACATCACCTAATTGTAACCTTAAAGGAAAACCTTTTTTTTTTTCATAGAAATCTGAAAATAGGCTGAGCCCTCTCAGCAACTTGTAGCAGCAATGGAAGTCAACAACATGTGTATGGATTACGCTTCCAAATATTGAGCAATTAAAGTTGGAGCCAGAGGAATGTTGCTCCAAGCACAACGTCCTTCGAATGTTAATCTTCTGATAAAAGATCTGGTGAAGATGGTCTTTTACCATCCATCTTTACTGCTGTTAAAAATGGCATGGCCCTACTCCCTCCTGGGTTGTTTACAATGCACACAATTCCTGGTAATTTTCAACGAGCTGGTGCATTACATGTTACGGCCAAATTTTAGTGGTGGAGTAATATTAAATCCGAGCGTTTGAATCTTCAACAGAGTCCGCGCCTCCAGCAATCAATCATTTCTCAACAGCTGAAGGTTTAGAATTTCAGCTTCGTTAGCTACATTTTCTTTTGAATATTCAAGATATGTTGGGCAAAACAGTCTGAGGATATGTGGTTTCCAAAGGTGATTCAGAAATCTGCAACATGTCAAGGAGAAGATGCTGCAATGTACGGTTCGCTGCCACAACGAACCATAAAAAGATAGAGTCGAAGCACATTTCCACAGTATTTTATCAGATTGAGCTCCATACATCTCAATCCAGTTCAAAATTTATGGTGTAAAAAAAAAAATGGATGAAAAGTTTCCATACCTCAAAACTGACCTGTGTTTTTATTAGTCATGCTTCAAAGAGTTGAAGCTGTCAGAGAAGCCAGAAGAGGTGAACTGCTAATTGGGATGTCTGAGGTTTTTTTTTTTTATAGCAGCAAGTATTGCCAGGGGGTGTAAATTGCTAAAAGGGGAAAATGTATTATTTACTTGTTGTAGCAGAAGTTTCCAAGTTTATATTACTAATAAATCATCCAGGTGTCATGGTAAAAAAAATAAAATAAAAAATAATCTGAAAAATATCAACAAGGGTTCTGGTTCTACAAGTTTCTTCTGCTCATTAAACCTGATTGGTTTAGCACCATGAGGTGATTTCTATTGAAGACAAACATTAAAACCCAGATTGTTTTTCACATACTTGCTTGATTTAAAGCATCACAGCTCTGCCGATTATTTTTAATAGCTTTCATTAACTGAAATAAGGTTTTAATGAGGCAGAAAGGTAAACATACTCTTTGTGGTTCTGTGCATGAGCTGAGCAGATCTTTTGCATTTCACTGTCTTTTACGTTGAGTCTGTGTGTAGAACCCAAGGTTGTTCTGTGCAGCCTTATGGGTGCAGGGCTCTTATTCTCTGAATTCACATGTCTGCCCAGTTGAAATTATAAAAATAGCCCAGGGCTTTGATAGAAAGAAAACATTTTCTCAGTCGCCTTGTGAAGCTTGTGAAAAAATTAGATAGCAAGAAAGCTGGAGAAAAAGTTCTGTTACATACAATCAATTGCAAATAGTATCTACAATAATTTTAGCTCTGGTTTCTAATATAAGTAGAAAGTTAATGCTTTCATTGGTTTTACAGAAAATAAATATAGTTTCCTGTGATGTTAGGAGAACCTCAGCCTTTTTATAATATAGTATAGCTAAAGCAGAATAAAAAACCCAAATAAGCCTTAAGATCTTGGAAAAGAATATGTACCAACCTGTGTAATTATTTATTTTAAAATGTATGCAACAGAAGTAATGTGTATAAAACTAAGTCCACTCTTGGCACTTTCATTAATTAAGAGAGAAAGTAGCAGCCAAATAATCCTTCCCCTGAAAATTATTCTCTTACTTATAATTAGCCAAAGTGGCTACCTCTGGTTGAAGGAGTGATGCTGACAGTTTGCATAATACCAAGTAGTAAAGGCGTCAGCAATTGCATTTGAAAAGGTTACACAGATTATAACAGCCTTCCAAATATGGACCATAACCAATTGGAATGTCTCTGGATCGTGACTTGAGGCTCCCAATACTTGCTGAACACTGTATATTAGTGATTTTGATCCATGACCCGTGTGCTCTCCTGGGCTCTGACAATACATTCATCATGCTGTGTAGGGTCATGATTATCAGAAAAAAACATTTGTCCATATACTTGCAGAACTCACTAATGTGAAAATTATGCTATGTGATTTTTGCATCTACTTCAAATCCTTGACAAACCTTCAATACAGGGTATGTGGTCCCAATGTCATGGATTTCTGCTGACAGATTGTCCAGCCCACTGTAATCTGCAACAAAAAATAATAAGACCATTGCTTGTTATTTTGCGAGAACTCATCGTCTCAGGGAACTCTTTCATATTTTCTGGGTAACCCACTGCTTCCTAAAACAACTTCCTGAAGAATGACCAAAAACCTGCTAAGGACTCCCGTGTTATGGATTGAATTGGGCATTGCACCATAATCTTCGGGCATATTCAGACCAGCTCTGTTTATTCTGGTCTTTTCAAACTCTAGTTCATGTCCAAAGTCTTGCTTGCTTGGGGAGATCAAACTCTGACCTGGATCAAAATAGAAAATGCTGATTCACCTACAAACCTTGGTGTTGGTTCGGTTGAAGTGAACTCTGGTGCAGTTTAAATGCATATAAAAACTGAGGGTCCTTTGGAGTATCTTCTCACTCCAGGTTATGACACTAGTCTCTTTCAATCTTTTTAACAGACAGTGAAGGTCCAGGGCAACGATATCTCACACAAGCTGCAGATCTCCAGAGTCAGCAAGAACGACGAAGGACTCTACGAGTGCCGAGTGACCCGCGCAAACTACGGAGAGATTGTGGAGTACAAAGCCCAAGCCTGGCTTAGGGTCAACGCCACAGCCAGGCCTCGACGGCCACTGCAACCTGCCAAGAAGAGCTCCCCACTGCACCTGACAGACAAGAAGCCAAGAAAGTCCACCTCACCTCTGAGCCAAGACAACATGAGTTCAGACCAGAGGGTGGCCTCCACATCCTCCTCCCACACATCCTCCAACACAGCTAAACGCTACCCCAGCTCAGGTGAGCACTTGGTGAAGACCTCCCTAGTTGGAGTCCTGGTCCAACTCTGCAACCTGATGCATTTCATAGATTACATTATTGTGTTTTAAAGCATCAAATGCTGGAGTTTATGGAAATGGCTTATAAAGGCTTGTGAGCTTTTGTCTTCATTTAAGTACATGTTGAAAATTAGACATTGAATCAATTCTTTATACTGTCTAAATGGTTATGCTAAAAGTCATTTTTTGCTATCCCAGTAGATCAACCTTCTTTCAACCGTAGTCAGACATCCATTGGCATCTTTCTGTGGACATTGATTAGACAGAAGGCAACGACATCTTTTCTGTGACTCTTTCACAAAACATTTCTGTCATAAACCAGCAAAAACAAGCCGACTCAGCTGCCTTTGGCCGTTCATAAATCTTACGTGGAGAGGTCTTTGATTCCCAATATAAAGCCGACTGCACATAAACTCTGTACTGGAGATCTCCCCATATCAAAACAACGGCACACAAATTGTGTTGTTGCTTCAAATTTAAATATACATCTCATCCTCTTACTCTTGATTTTTTTTTAAAGTCATGTTTACGCTTTTAAATCCTGACTGACCGCACAAAACATGTCATCACCGTGTCACTTCCTTCACCTGCAAAGCCTGCTTGCCTCTACATGAGCCATCTGATGCACAGCGCTGACTAAACCGCTTGAGTTAGGAGTTTGACAGAGGGGGACCAACCTCACCAACCCCATCACCATAGCAATCCTCCATAAGTCCTACTTTGTGCAATGACACTAAAATAAGTCGGTAACACTTTATTTGATGGGTTGTGAATAAGACTGCGATAACAATGTCAAACATAACATAACACTTGTCATGAACATGAGTAGGTCTTCATGAATATTTATGACTGTTGTCATAAAGTGTCATTCCATGATCTCCAGGATTAGAGGACTAATGTCTCACCCAGGTCTAGAGAAACTCATCCATGTGTTTATCTTTAGTAGTATTGATTATTGTAACAGCGTCTTCACAGGCCTGTCCAACAAATCATTCAAACAGCTGCAGCTGATCCAGAAGCTGCTGCTCGTGTTCTCACTAAAACCAGCAAGATAGACATAACACCAGTTCCTCTACTGGCTCCCTGTAGCTCAAAGAATAGACTTTAAAATACTGTTGTTAGTTTATAAATCTCTCAACGGTGTAGCACCACAATACATCAAAGATCTGCTGTTGTTGTATCAACCTTCCAGAACCCTCAGGTCTTCTGGTTCTGGTCTGCTTTGCATCCCCAGAACCAGAACCAAAAGAGGAGAAGCAGCTTTCAGCATCTATGCACCAAAAACTTCTAGAAAACTGTAAAACAGCAGAAACTCTGACTTCCTTTAAATCTCAACTAAAAACACACCTGTTTAGAATTGTATTTGAAATGTAATATGTAACAATGTATTGTTTATTCCATGATGCATGACTTTGTGTTTTTTGTGTTTATGATTAAAGCACTTTGAAATGCCTGACATTTCAAAGTGTAAAGCATTACACTTTGAAATGTGTAATGCCTGCTGAAATGTGCTATACAAATAAAATTTGATTGATTTGATTCGGTAAATCATGACACTTTTAATACAAAGCTGACATTATTCAAAATGTCTTTGTTATGAACCACTACCAAAATGTGTTATAACAACTTGACATTAATCAAGAAATTATAATCTGATATAAATTTGTTATAAAAGTATTCCTGATTAAACTTTAAAAAATCATGTAGCTTTACATTATTGAAGCTAAAGATTTATCAGTGATACTTTTATAACAAATTTATGTCAGATAATGGTATCTTGGTTAATGTCAAGTTCTCATAACAAAGACACTTTGAATAATGTCAACTTTGTATTAAAAGTGTCATGACTTACTGAATTACACTTTATGACAACAGTCATAAATATTCAGGAAGATTTACTCATGTTCATGACAAGTGTTAATGTCATGTTTATGACGGAGTCTAATTCACAACCCATCACATAAAGTGTTACCAATAAGGGTAAGCCTATAAGGCATGAAGACTGCAAAAAAGGCCAAAATGCATTCATGGTTAAGCAACAAAAATTTTTATTAATGGTTGCTTTAAATAACTAACTGACATATAAACAAAATGCCAATAGGACAAACAGTAGCCTGGTGTTCAGTGTCTAATTTTTTTAGACAAAATAATTTTGAAATATTGAATTCAATCTATGTTTCTCTATTGTCTTACAGAATTGTGAATTTATTGTCTCATGTCTTTATTCTGTAACCAAAAGGTTTCTTCTTTGTTAGGGGCTTTCTGTCTGAAACTCCAGTCCTGGAGTCCCTGGTTGCAGGAACCCATAAAACACAAATGATAAATATGATCTTATGAGTGGCATAGAGTAGGCTATCTTCTTGTGTTAGAGTGACTATCAGTGCACAAAAAAATTGGTTCTACATGCCCATCTTGGCATGTAGTGTTAAAAGTGAGCCTCTTGTATTAAAACTGTAGTCAGCATATGGCAGAGTCACCGAACAGCAGTTTATTCAATGACTGAAGCCAAATGTCCGCCCAATGCCACAGCTGAAGACCCACAAACCCATAAAGCAGAAATCCATGTTCATTAAGTTTGTCACTGTTGCTCAGTGGAGTCTGAATCTGACATCTGTTTTCGTTCAATGTTTCCAGTGTTGCACCTTTTCTACCTAATTGTGCTTGTTCAGAGATGTGTACCAAATCCTCATGATGACACAGATGTAACCGAAGAAAAATCCTGGCTGCATCTAGAGTTGCTTTTTTTACGTGTACATTTCTGTGAACAGATGTGCAGAGAGATGTACAGAGACCTGTGCAACTCCATCAATGATAGGGTTGCACAAGTTACTGAAGCTGAAACATCACACCAGACCGTTTTCTTAAATCGCTCGATAGTTTTACGCCGGATGTAAGAGACTGTAGAAAAATTTACACTTATGCTTCATCAATCCAAACAATATATTCTCCAAACTATTGGGAAACTGTCAAGATGTTTTTTTTTTTTTTTTTTTTTTTTTTTTATCAAGTTTAAGATTGCATTTTTCTCTTTTTGTGTTTTTTTTTTTTTTTTTTTTAACCAGATGTTCCATGTGGTTTTGAATTATGTAGTTTATTTTGTTAAGGTGGCTTTGGAATAATTTTCAGAAGCCATGATCTCCGGCGAAGGTGTGTCACTGTTTTAGGTGTTTCACTTTTTTGGACAATGGCTTTCACTGCTTTTCTGGAATTCCCAAATTCTTTAGCTTGTAGCTCATGAATGGTCTCGTGATTCTTCCAGTCTGACATGCGTGACCTGGATAATTCATGGTCTAACAAGAGCGGATTGCTTTTTAACATTGGGCTATGTTGGGTGGAAGAGCTTTCTTTCGTTCAGTTAAAACTCATCATTACAATCACTCTTCAAAGCTCTAGTTCATATTTACAACAAGTTGTCTTTGTCTTCAACAAAATGCAACAGAGGAAATGTGCAAGGGTGTAGATATCTATGCATGGGAGCACAAGTGAAATATCAGATACTTAAATTCAACCATCATCCCATAAATGTATGTTTCTATTTAAAGTTTTAACTGATCTGGTCAAAGAAACAAACCAACCTCCTCCTCCATCCCATCTTCAGTCTCTATGGGATTCAGGTTTGCTTATTGTTCAGGTCGAAATTAATCTTCTCCCTCTCGGTTATTCCACAAATTTCCAGAATGTGTTCCTGTTCTAAATTCATTGCCTACTTCACCTCTCCTCCCTTGATGCTGGTGAAGAGTCTTTGCTGTTACTGTCTGAGGCAGAAAATGGACAGGCCAGCTGTTTACCCTCAATAATTACATGAAAATTCCCCCCAGTGCTTTTTTTAACACAGACTGATTACATTTATTGCTGTAATAATAAGTGTAACCAGCAGTAAGATACAAACCTTACTGCTTTGTATCTACTTTATGCTGGAATATAGAATACTGGAAGGTTAAAAATGACTGAGTTTTATCTCAGGACTATGTGAAGAACAGTGCATGAGACAGTTCTGACTGATTCACAGTTATTGGGTTTGATGAAAAAACCTGTGGAGTCTTAAGGTCTGCATGCCGTCAACATGCAGAGAGAGCAAACATTCCAATACTCTGTATAATTTCACTGCTTGCAAATGTTAGCTTTGTCCAAATCATTATCAGTAGTACATGATGCAACAAATTATTATTAAACATGATGAATGGAACTGTTCACGTCTATAAAATGGTAAAACAAATGATCAGGGCAGTGTTGCCTCCTGTGGAGCCTTGTGGATCCTACATGTAGCAGAAACGGTTGGAAAATATGAGGAAAACAAATACTGCTCCAAGGCAGACTATATACAATCCATTAGTTAGGAATCCCAGTTAATGTAGGCTGTTTCAGAGGCATTATATATAAACCATTAATTAACTCTCAAAGGTACATTTTAAATAGTCTTTTTGATACATAATACAGAAATGGCCAAAAGCCTCAACACTTAAAACTGAAAAAGGTAAAAACCACACATCTGTTCCAGGCAGCCTTACCTGCAGTCATTTCTGTAGTTTAATTGTACAGTTTGCATTAGCCTTCACTTTTTACATTATAACTGCTGTTTATAAATAGATTGTAAAATATATATCCCTAGCCTTTAAAAAATATATTTATGAGCATTTCCTTATTTGTTTAGTTGAGCCACTGACTCAACTAAACAAGATTACAGATATAGGTCTTCTTTGAAAAGGAGACCTTTCACATCAACCTGAGGAAGTCGGATATCTAAAAATGGCTTTTTCTAACTTTGTGTTTAAATGATTCATTTTTATGCCAGAATAACTCAGCTGATAGGTTTCAATACTGGTTAAATTGAATTAAATCAGGCTATTTCTAAAGTTTTTAAGTGGTTAATATGTTACCTGCAGTAGACAACTTTTGTTATTCTTCAATTTGGAAATGTTCTGATTAGGTGGTTTAGTGGGCTAAAGGTAATAGCTAGTTCAG